TTACTGAGTACCCGGGTTCTGGGTCCGACACTTCAATGCACATACAGATGTTAAGTTGCCTGTGGATAGGATTCTGCACGGTTCCGGCGTCGGAGGTTGTCTCGGGTGGGGACTACTGGATAAGATTCTTGTCACTTAATCCTGCTATTGTTCTTGTTATGGATACTCCAAGTCAACAGTGCCACGTGCGCCTAGCTTAACCTTTGGATCTCGCGACGGAAGAAGTATGAGATGAGACTGAGACTGAGACGGTCCTAGATCGAATGTGTCGGAGACGAAGGATGGGACCGATGTATGCCGGTGTAGTCGACCGGCATGGAAACTCAACGAGACTGAATGATTATTCGCTGGGTTACGCATAGCGCATATTCCCTCTTGTGTGCTTTTTTTTTTCCCATCCAGCTACTGATCTGTACTGCAATTCGCTGTGTGTAAGAGTAAGCACCTCGTATCACGGTCAGTGCATGTGTACAGTACAGTACTTCAAGCTTCAACCCAGGAGGTGATCAAGTAAGCATGCAGTGAATTGGAGACTAGCAGAACTCTATGCTGAGATCGAACTAAACCGAAATGGACCTTAGATCTCTTCGCTGTCACAGCCTTTAGACTACTCCCTCTTGGGGCCTGGAGATCTATCACAATTGTGCGATACGTGCGTGCTATGCGAGCTTGTCAACTTGTGTGTGTGAGTCTGTGACCTCTGAGCTTTGTCCCTTCCCCATCTCGGGCCGACCAGACCGTTGGGGACATTCCAGCCTGCTGCCTGACTGGTGGGTGGTCGGAAATGTCAAATCGGACTGATCGACTTTCGGCATGGCAGACATGAGGGAGAGAGAATTTGGTGAGTGCCAGTCTAGATGAGTTGAAAGGACTCTTTGTTGGTTGCGTTGAGATCGAGACGGTGAGAGGGTTACATAGTTTATCGGCAGTGAAGCTTTTTTTTTTTTATTTGTCTTGGTGACATAGCATATTCGGCATATTCTATCATCAGTGGATACAGTCCATAGCCTGGAGCATAACGATTCATCTCTAATTCATCATTGCCGAGAGACACAGGATGATTGGCGCAGCCCACCCAGGAATTTGTTCTAGGCTGTGTCTCTTTTTCTCTCCTTCACGAGGAGGGGGGAAGATCCGAAAGAGATTAAGGTAGAAAATAATACCTTAAAAGTTAGTTAGTACTTGGTTGGTCCTTAGTACTGAATCCCGTCCCTAATCAATTGCCCAGTCCCGGACTCTTTCTTCTCAAGTAGTCTAGCGCCTTGTCCTGAACCTGAACGATCCCTCCGTCTCCCTCCCTCCCTCCCTCCCTCCTCTTAGTCTAGTCTCGCCTCGACTTTCTCCTCCTCTCCTCTCCTCTCCTCTTCCTTCTCCTCTTCTCCCTCCTTTACTTTACCCCGTCTTTCTCGGCTCTTCGCTCTCACATTTGCCTTCTTCTTCGTGCTGTTGCAACCACCGGGCTCTAGGACAGTTGACTTGACACTCTTCTCCTCTGCCGTTGAATTCCCTTCTTCTCTACACTCATACCGTGTTCTCCGCTCAACTGTGTCTCGGATGCTGTCCTGACGCCACGGTCCAGCCACACACACCTTTGCATCACTCCTTTCCCTGGCATTTTTTTTCCCTTGCCTCCCCCTCCTCCTCCACCCACTGCTTAATATACTTTATTTTGTCTGTTGTCTCTGCCCCTCCCTATCTGGGCATCTAATCCATTCTCACTTCCTCCACCTTATACCGGACTCGACCACTTTAGTCTTCATCTGACAGCTGCTCTCGACTCGTCCTAGCCGTCTGCCATCTGCCATCCGCCTTTTGACGTTCCCTGAGCCGGACCGACACATCCACGGTACCGATTCCGGCGGTCCCTGGCTAACAAGTGCTCAACCCACCTCCCGGGGAACCACATAGACGGTTGCGCAGCGATTTCAAGGTGTTCAATTCTCCACTTTCTCCTTATTTACAATTTCCTCTTTTCGGCTCGTCTCGCTCGTGCTCCCGGCCCCCTTTCCCACCGACTCATCATTTCGCCGTCCGGCTCCCACCTTCTTCAGCCTTCCTATACCCCTCACATCATACAGACTGCTGTTTTTTTTTCCAACTCGGTCAACTCAGAGGAGGGACTTTGACCAGAACTGCCCTGAGCGGTTGGTGATTCTGGTCTGTGTGTCTCTGGGATGGCCTGATCGGGGACAGAAAGAGACAGAGAGAAGAAAAATTGTTCCTGGCCCAGTGACCAGCCGCTCGTTGATCCCGTCACGATTGCCCTCATAACAGCACACCGGGTTCCAGCTGGTCTGGACTTGTCTGATCCATATTTACTGCTGCTGGAATGGCGGGGACGGCTACCGCGACATACTCGACAGATGCATGGACGTCACCCAGTGTAGACGGGGGTCAATGGGAATTTTCGGTTCCAATCCGACAAGATGTAAGTGTGTCCTAGAAGTCAGTGGCCACGCTGCGGCAGTTTGCAGCCACTGTACCGTATACTCCGATCCAATAGGGTCGTAAGATTAGACGAACTGACCCCGGATTGTGTTAGAGCACTAATCATCGCTCCAAATCGCGCTCGTCCCACGATTCGCGCTCCAGAGGGCATCGGCCCCAGGGCTCTCGCGGCTCCTCCCTGTCCCGACACGTCCAGGCTCACGATCAGTTCAATCCGCGCGGTCGCCGAGACGCTAGCCATAGTCGACGTGAAAGTGAAGAATTCAACTCGCAGCATCACTATAGACACGAACCCGTAGACCGCAGCTCTAGTAATGCGAACGCCTCGACTGAGATTCCACGCCAGGATGGGACAATAAAAACGGGCGAGGGGATCGGAGTGTACCTCGGAGAGCTGGATAACGAGAAATGGATCCACCGAGATAAATTGGCCAAGATCGAAAGCGAAGAGTTACAGCAGTTGTTTCAGCGACGGGCTGCCGCAGACGGGACCCAGAGTGGCCGTGGAAAGGCCCATGAGTCTCATGGGGTCAACGGACGCTCCTTTTCCCCGCACTCGCCAAACGAGCAGACGGAACCGTGGCCCAGTCTACATGATGGGTCACCGCGTGACTCCTACGACTCCAAACCCTTCTCCGATGCCGATGACCTTCATGATACTACACAGGGCGATCAAAAAGATTGGGACCTTCGACGGGCGGACGAGATTGCTGCAGATAAGACGAAGGAGAAAGCCGCGTCGAGCTTCTACCATAACCCTGGCTTGCGAAAGAGCTCTTCTCGGATCCCAATTCCAACCGCCAGCCCGGTCCCCATCTCGCCTGAAAACGCTGGACGAGAGTTCCCAAAGCAGCGCACCCGAGCCCTCACCAATGGTGAAGATGAGGCGCTGTCGTTCGGGATGCCGCGCCGAGCTAGTGAGCCACTGACGGTGGAGGCGGCGAACGGCATACCTTCGAATGGCAGCAGACCTGGTAGCCGTGGGTTCCCATCGCAAACTACGGCGGCCAAGAAAACACCAGCAAAGGCTGGACCTACCAGCCGCAAGACCTCTGCTCCTCCCGCGACCAGAAAGGCGACTCCCAGAGCTCGTCTCCCGTCCAGCACGCAGCGGCCTGGAGCCAGAGGAGACGGTCGGGGCCCCCCTAATCCCATCAATCGCCCGGAAGGAGATCCTCCATGGCTGGCTACCATGTACAAACCGGATCCGCGTCTTCCTCCAGACCAGCAGATCCTCCCCACGCACGCACGGCGCATGCAGCAGGAACAGTGGGCCAAGGAGGGCAAGACACCCACGATGTACGACCGCGAATTTGCTCCGCTTGCCATCGGACCGGATGGACCATTCAAAGTGGAAACCCCCAAGAATGAGGCCCCGGAACCGGAGATGCCCCAAATGGAGGAGAAGACAAAGGAAGAAGCGCAGCCTACACCACAGCAAACGCCCGAAGAGCAACTCCCGTCCAAGGAAGGTGAAGCCGACGCGCGGCCCGTCACAGGCAGTGGGTATAGCACTATGCCCCGAGTGCAGGAACCCATGCCAGCACCACTGACACCCAAATGGAGCCCGCCGGTGGTGACGGCGCAAGAGCCACCGCCGAAGGAGAAGGGCTGTGGATGCTGCATCGTCATGTGATTTAATCCTGCCATATCAGCCCTCTCAGCCTGAGCTATTTCTCAGCAGCATTTACCTGATTTTCCCCTGCATAATGCTTCTCACTTTCTCATTTTCTGTTTATTCAGCGTGCAGGTTGGGTGTGGTGTTCAAATCTCTAGGATTTTAATTCTTGTCCATTTTTTTTTTTTTTTTTCATTCGATTTGTCCAAACTTTTGTGTCTAAAACGACGATCATTTAATATTGCGGCCATCGACCTGTTTGATTCCCTCACTCTTACTGTCTTTGAGCATTGGTCATTCCTTGGAATTCCCTTACTTTGGCGAAGCATCAGCATTGGAGCGGTCATTATGACAATTTCACACACCTTGTTTTTCATTCATTCCTTTTGTGTGCCGGCCGAGCAGGCTATTTATCTGAGTTGCTTGAATATGAATCAGCAAGTTATAGAGAATGGACGTTGTGACAATATGACCGAGGTCGGGTGATGTCGTTTGCTGTAGTGTAGGTGTCCAGCCAGTGAGAAGCAGTAGAAATGCCCGAGACAAGCTGTAGTGCAGTGCAGTGCAGTGCAGCACGGAGACAAAGGATAGAAGATACTCCTTGTAAATGCTACGGTAAGCAAGTGGGATGACCCTGCACCAGCTTACACCAGCCGACCAGCAGGTTTACTATCCGAATATTTGTCACCCAACAAACAGGATGGATAACTAACTAGTGGTCCCTTCCAGAATCTCTAGAAAAACGGAGCGATGATGCCATCGCCTGGGAGCCAGCCGGGTCGGGAGCTTCCTTACATAATCCCCGCGCGGTTTGGACGGTTTGACTCCGAGACTTGCGCCATCCCGCCAACATCGCTCGCTCACGATTGTCCCCGTCCTCCAAACACCGATCACTTACTTCCGAGTACATATATAGCCCGTCGCTACCCCTCCTTCCTCCATCTTCGTCTTTTCAACCTACCAACACTCCATCACTTCGACCCCGTCCCTCGTGCGCCGGTCGAATCTTCTCCCCCCCACTCGCCCACCATAGCTTCCATCTTCACTCGTCTGTTCGGCTCCTTCGCCGGCCCCTCCCCCGCCACCATGGCCGCCGCAAAGACCAAGGCTCAGAACCTGATCAACGAGAACGGCGTCGGTGAGTCTTGCTTTCCTGTGCCCCGATCCCTGCCCCCCTCTCTCCCATCAGACTCCCGGGCAGGTGTCACCCCAAACCAAATTAACCAGCCACTAACCGAATAACATAAAAACCACAGTTGTCTTCTCCAAATCCTACTGCCCCTACTGCGTCGCCAGCAAGCGCCTCCTGAACGAGCTGGGCGCCGACTACAAGGTCCTGGAGTTGGACCAGATCTGTACGTTTCCCACCCTGTCTTTGCGCTCGCCAGATAACTTAAGAGTCCCCCCGGAACTGTATGCTAATTTTTACCTCGGGGTAGCCGACGGCCAAGCCATCCAGGATGCTCTGTACGAGATCTCCTCGCAGCGGACCGTGCCCAACATCTTCATCAGCCAGAAGCATATCGGCGGGAACTCGGATCTGCAGGGCAAGGACCGCGCGCACTTGAAGCAGTTGTTGACGGCTGCGGGGGCTTTGAAGGCTTAGATTTCCAACCTAATGGGGTGAAGGGTTGATAATGTAGGGGGGATAGATTTGGGGTGAATATATCGATTCTCTCTTTTATGTGGTGTCGGTGTCTTTGGACTCGTTGTTCGGGGGTGGTTGTAGAGGACTCGTATGTGTGTAGAGTCTTGTACGTAACGTACATACATGTAAAGTCTGGTGGAAGAAAAAAGAGAAGAGAGGGGGTGACATTTCTGAAGTAGGGAAAGTAGGAGGTTAAATAAAACTACAGAACCTTCTGCACCACCGTGCCCACCGGGCGCTCCACCACCGCCATGATGCCGTCGACGACGCTCTCGCGGGCGGGCTCGCTCGACACGTTCCTCCCGGCCAGGTAATTCAACCACACCAGACGACTGACGCGCTCGTCGGCCACGCGGCCCATGTACCGCGTGGGCTTGGCGGCCACGTCCGTCTGAAACAACGCATCCAGCTGGCCCCTAGCGTTCCGGACGAGCAGCACCGTGTGGCCCTTGGGGACGTTCTTGTTCGCCCCGCCGCCGAACAGGGCCTTGAAGTTCTTGACGGCGGCGCCGAACGCCTCGTCGGCGAACTCGCCGCGCCAGGGGTTGTACTTCTGGGCGCGGGCCGTGACGCCGCGCACGAAGGCGTCGCGCATGTGCGTGAAGTCCGTGTTGCGGACGGGCACGATGCGGAACGCCGTGCGCAGGCCCGGCTCCCGCAGGATCGCGTCCCACACCAGATCGCCCTGCTGCTCGGTCCCGTCGGTGTCGAGGAGCAGCTGGCGCAGGCGGTCGCGCTCCGTCGACACCAGCGAGGTCGCCGCCGTCGCGCCCACGGGGTTCGTGATCACCCCCGCCGCGGCGGTCTTCTGTTCCGCGGCGATCACCCCCGCCAGCGTCGGCGGGTTCACCGCCGTCTGCACCAGCCGCCGCTGCAGCGCCGTGATGTCCGACTTGGCCACGTACATCCCCACCACGTACACCTGGATCCGCAGGAACGAGACCGTGCGGATCCCCAGCCCCAGCAGCTGGTACTCCTCCTCGTCCGCCGGCTTCTCCGCGGTGGTCGACAGCGCGAGCTCGTCGCCCGCCGCCAGGGGCACGTTCTCCGCATCCAGCGCCTTGGGCAGTCGGATCGTCGCCGGGAAGTACGGCACCGCGCTGGTGCCCGTCGCCACTTGCTCCGCGCCGGGGTCTTGCCCGTGCACCGTGATCAGCGACGGGCTGCTGGGGAAGCCGTTGGGCCCGTCGAGTTGCGTCTTCTTCGGGGACGGCGCGGCGGAGTCGCCCGCTTCCTGCGCGGTCGGGATGGTGGTGGACGACTGCGGATGCTGCGTTTGTTCCTCCAGGCCGAACAGGTCGAGTTTGATGACCCCGTACATGGCCATCGCGCACGCCACGATCCCGCTAGCCGAGAGGATCATTGAGCGCCGGTAGTTCGCGACGTCTTTGTCGCTGCTGCGGACGCGCGAGGTGCGGAGGGGGTTAGCGGGGTTGCTGCTCCTGCTGCTGCTGCTGGGCGACGTGCGGACCGGGGAGGTGGTGGAGAGGTGTAGGCGCGGTTGCGGGCGTCCGCCGCCGCGGGATAGGAGGTAGTGGCGCCGGATGCATTGATTGCATGTGCGCCAGGGCATGGCGATGCCCTGGAGGGAAGTCGGGGTGGCCATTGTGTGCCTTGCGGGGTGGTCACGTATGTTATGGCTTGAAGGAAAGTGGGTGATGAGGGCGGATGCGTTCGATGACGATGGGCCTGCTGCTGGTTGGTTCCGGCGGAGAAGCTGGCACGTGATTTCAACCTGCCCTGATTGGTTGTGGGGAATGTATGGGGTCGAGAACTTGGTAGATTACAGAGGGCTTCGGGCGTTGAGGTAAGAATGAAGAGATGAAGTACTCAATTGTCTCGCTAGATGCTATCGGGCTATTTCACAACCACTTTGTGGCTTCCTCCACTGGCCACCGCTACCGTTGCCGTGTTATTGGCATAGCTCACGCCCTTGGTGATCTTCTTGCCGTCGATTGTGATCGTTGGCTTCTTGGAATTCGGGTAGGGGAGAGCAAGACTTCCTGTAGTTCCCTTCGGAACGGTAAACTGCAGGCTGTACTCATTGGATTGCTTCGTCCATGATGCCTGGAATTGGCCCAGCGAAGTCGTGAACCCAGCCTGGGCGGTCTTGAGATCTCCGAATTGCGGCGCGAGCTTCCAGGTCGCCCCCAGCGGAGAAGTGACGGTCAGGCCCACGATGTAGTTTGTCAGGGCCGACGTTGGTCCAGAAGACCAGCCGTGCGCGTGGGAGACATATGCCGTGTCGTAGTAGTATCCACGGCTTGACCGGTAGCCAAACGTGCCGTTCTGCAGGTATCCTTCGATGACCGTGCTCTGCGTGCCGTTCTCATTGTTGTAATACCATCCCCAGCTTCGTCGAATCAGCTCCAGAGCTCGAGCGGGCTGGCCCACGGTAAAGTGGCCCTGGATCTCGAAGGAGGAGATGAACGGTGAAATATTCTCCGGTAGCTCAGGGGCCACGGCACCGATGGGTGTCCAGTTCTCGGTCAGTTTCTCGGAGATACTAGCAGCGCGCTCGGAGTCAACTACGCCAAACAATAGGGCCATGCTGTTTGCGTCCTGCGGGTGAAGAGTCGTATCGGTTGCGTTGTCCTTGAACGCTCCGTACGAGTCGTCCCAGCAGTACTCGTTGATGGCCTCCCGCAGCTTCTCCGCCCGGGTGGTGTATGTGTCCGACAGACCAGTGGTGTCGCCTGCCCAGGTGGCAAGCTCAGCTCCTGTCTTGAGAGTGTGGTACAGGCTAGCGATTGTCAGTCTGGCTTGGGGTCTGCAGTCAAGTGTACTGTACTCACATCATCTGCGCCTCAGTGTTGTTATACCCCTGCTGCCATCTGGCCCAGTCACGAGTACCGGTGACATTGAGCAAGCCACTAGCGTAGGTCACCTTGCCATAGATATACTCCATGGCTTTCTGGTAGCCCGCCCAGTTGGTCTCGAGGAAGTCGGTATCATTGGTATACAGTAGGTAATTGTAGGTGCCAACCATGGACCACATATGGTAGGTGTCCGAGTTTTTCTGGCTGAGGGGAGGTCCTGATTCATCGAATGCTCCTGTCGAAGCCTGTTCTTCGTTAGTCAGACTAGCCATAAGTCTGTTCTCAGTTACATACCTGGTAGTTGTACATCACTTGCAGTGCGTTTTTGACGCTCTCCAAATTACCGATGCTAACGAAGGCGGACGGAACAGCAATGCCCATATCGCCTGGCCACACAGCTCGATCTCTCTTCGCACCGTCAACGATGATGGTATCACCAGGCCCCAGCGTGGCGTTGTTCGCCCACCCAGCAGGCATCGCTGGAATCTGGCGGCCTGTGTTGACGGGGACCTCGTTGGTCTGCAGCGTGTACGCGCCGCTGTACCAGATGGCATTCAGCAGGTCATCACTAGAATCAAAGTATCCTTGGTAGGCCCTCAGATTAGACCATGTGGGCTGAAAGCCAATTTCCAGGCTCACGTCCTTGATCTGAACTGCGGTCGAGTTATCCGTGATCAAGAACAGCGTCAGGTACCGGAATCCACCACGAAGGTACTTGTCGGGCATCGTATAAGAATGCTCGCCCGCTTCAGTAAAGTTCCCATACAACGCGCCATCGGGGCCTTTGAACCCTCCATTGGAGGAGTCGGACCATTCCCCAATGTAGTCCTTGGCCTCGGTAAATGCCAGTCCCAGGGCTCCACTACCCGTGGAGGTAAACTTGACAGTGACAATGCCACCTACTTCCCTTTCGAAGTCATAGACCACCAGGGATCCATTCCCCTGTAGCTTATACTGAGCATAGTCATGCGTGACATCTGGCTTGGTGATCAAGAAGAGCTTTTCGGGGTTCACGGTTCGAGAAGCCGGGGCGAAGATGTTTTTCTCCCACGAACCTGGAAAGGCGGCAGTTGTAGGGCCGGAACAGGTGGTGTTGCGCCAGCATGAGGTGGCTTCAGAAAGAGGAAGAAGAGCTATGGCTCCTAAGAGAGATGGAAGCCAACGCATGATTGCTGTCTATCGCAACCTATGCCGGTATCTCAAGTGCCGACAGATCTTGAGCGAGAAAAGATGAACCCATCGTTGCGGCGACGGAGGATATAAATACAAGCAAGGGGGCATCTCCACTGGAAGATTCCCCGGACTTTCTACCCCAGAAACCAAAAAGAGGGGTCGAACAGCTGTTCAAGGTTCCCTGGAGTTGAGATTAATCTGTATCTCGGTTCGCTTGCGATGCTTTGACCGAAAGGAGGGGGAAATGCGCGAGTCACTCGGACGCTGCTCGGTTAAATACAAGTAATGAATCGGTCTAGTCCACTCATCCCAAGTAAAAGCTTCGTGCCGCACAAGCTTCAATGAGATGAAGCTTGACGGAAGGAAATGAGCAAAGCCTTGGGATGCAGGTTGCATGGATGATGGGGGTGTCATTGGTGGAAAATGGATTATGTCCTGCTCTACCCCGTCTTTTTTTCTCCGCACTGCATCATTTCCCCTTTACCCGCCTCATTTCCATCATTCCCACTCGGGCCAATTGCCCCCGAGAGATTGCTTTCGTGCTGGCTGTGACGTTGCGGAGAGACCCTTGAGCCCCCGTCGGCAATTATTAGAAAAAGCGACATGGCGCAATATGAGATCCGCAGACAGCAGCCCGGCTCTCGGAATTCTGTCTGCGCGTCACACCCAACACAATGCGATTTTCTTTGACCTCAGCATCCTCCCTCTCACTGCTCTTGGGGCTTTTAGCTTTGAGCTCTGCAAGCAACGTCCAAAAGAAAGGCAATGTATGTACCGTGAAGGCCAACGGACATCAGAAGGACGATGTACCGAACCTCTTGGAAGCATTCAAGGCATGTGGCAATGGAGGAACCATCATTTTCCCTGAAGACCAGTCCTACTGGATCGGCCAGAGACTGAACCCTGTCCTGAATAATGTCGCAATTGAATGGCGGGGAAAGTGGACGGCAAGTGTCTCCTTCGCTCGTGGACGCAATGCGCGCACACGCTAACGTTCTATCATCAGTTCTCGGATGATCTATCCTACTGGCGCAACCACTCCTACCCAGTCGCCTTCCAGAATCACGCCGCTGGTTTCGTCATTACTGGACAGAACATCAGTATCAATGGGTATGGGACAGGAGGTATCGACGGCAATGGCAATGTCTGGTACACTGCAGAGGCAGGCGTCACGCAGCCTGGAAGGCCGATGCCCTTCGTCTTCTGGAATGTTTCCGACGTCGAGGTCGAGAGTTTCTACGTCAAGGACCCCCCGTTGTGGAGTCTGAACATCATGAATGGCACGAACATGAGGTTCAACGACATCACCTGCAACGCGACGGCTGTCGATGCGCCGTATGGTAGTAACTGGGTCCAGAACACCGATGGATTCGGTACGTACTTTGTGACCCGATATATCGTAATGTCCATCAACTGATCACATCATCTTACCAGACACGATGGACGCCACCAACATCCAACTCACCAACTTCGTCTACCAGGGCGGCGACGACTGCATTGCCATCAAACCCCGCTCCTATAACATCGACATCCAAAACGTCACCTGCCGCGGCGGCAATGGAATCGCGGTTGGCAGTCTCGGACAGTACTTGGAAGATTCCAGTGTCGCGAACATCAGAGTTGACAACGTTAAGGTACTATACCATGGCACCACCCAAGCCGCCCCCCCCCCCCCGTTCGCAAAGTGAGAACTAATAAGCGTGATCACACCCCAGATCATCCGATACAATGAGGACATGCACAACAGCGCCTACATCAAGACCTGGGTGGGAGCTCTCGTGCCCCAGGACTCGTACGAGAGCGACTACCTGCCTCGCGGAGACGGCTGGGGCAGCGTCAAGAACATCATTTTCTCGAACTTTGATGTGCAGGGAGCCAACGCGGGCCCCGCGATCAGCGAGAGCAGTGGGGACAACGGGTCATACGCCGGGACGAGCAAGATGCTGATCTCCAACATCGCGTTTGTCAACTTCACGGGGTACATCAACACCACTAAGTCTACGACGTCCTCGGTCTCGTGCTCGAAGCTGTACCCCTGCTACAACATCGAGTACGACAACGTGGTTCTGTACCCACTGAACTCGACTACGCCGGGCAAGGGGTCTTGCTCGTACACGGCTGACGGGGGTGTTCATGGTCTAAGCGGATGCTAGTGTGTAGATAAACCTGCAGCTCTACGGTACTACTTCTTTGTGCTATTTGTATCGTGGGTGAAGGGATGAAGCGGTGTATATATACTTGATAGTGCCAATGGTAGTGATGTGCCTGCTAGGCTTTGCTTCTTGGTGTCGCCCTCAACGATAGGGTATCCAATGTCCATCACTTTCTCGCTTGGAATCATGCAACGACAGTCTCTGCCTCCGTTAGACCCAATAACATTCATTTCAAGGCCCATGATGATCCCACAACCCATATTTGCATACACCAGCCACAGACGCCCATGAGGTTGACGGGTGGTGGCTAATGGCCAAGCTTTCGCCATGAACGAACAAGCCCTCAGCCAAGCCTCTGTAGTGGAGCGAGGACCCTCGAGGTTATGAGTTGGGAAGCGATAGTTGGGCTGCGGCATGATGGCGGTTGATGTCAGGGTATGAATGAGTGCGTCATCATCGGCTGTTATAGTTTAGATGACGGGGCATAATTCTAGGCGATGAGGGGTGAAGTAGCGATGGCACGGCAAACAATATACCTGTCTGCGTAGCAAAAGGCAGAAGAAGCTGAAAAAAGAGCAAAAAAGAATGACCTACGCAGGGCTCGAACCTGCAATCTCTTGATTCGTAGTCAAGCGCCTTACCATTGGGCCAGCAGGCCTTGCTGTTGAAAAGATTAAGCTCACTATAAGATATGACCCTAAAATAAAGGCATACTGAGAGTGCTCATGAAGACAAAGTGGAGGTGAATCACATAAAGCCCAGAATCACACAGCAGTCAACATAGACACCAATATAAAAGCAAGAACCCTGTTGGGATAGGCTAACACCCTCCTTTCCGGCATATTTATCATCTGGCCTCGCACAGGCCCATGGCCTTGCGTCTATGCTCTACTGATGGGTAGCGGGCCCGGAATATATCAATCGAATGGTTGGCAATCTCACTCAGGTCATTCGTGCTGGAACCGGGGCTACCATTGAGAGACAACAAGTTTTACCAAAGGACACCTAGTAGATTAGACAGTTATTCGATAATCAGGCCACAGACAGTGAGGACCACCGGCACAAAGCTACGGCCTCCTTACATCGTTGGCCCGAGGGCAGGCCATGTAGGTCCTATTACCACCCCCCCAGTGATATAGCTGGCACGTGGATCGTCCTGGAACAGGATTTTAAGGGACAGATAGGGTTAATCAAGCTCTAGTATTTCCTCTATTCACGTGTAAAGGAACCACACGCGCCGCAAACCAGGCATACCAGAACATCCGTGCCGAGTATGGCACGGTAAAGCGATCAGCATGGTGTTCAAGTGTGGACGACATCCCTCAAACGCCCCTGTCAATGGACGAGAGCATACGCAAGCATATGCCCGTAGACTGTACAGAGCAAAGGAAGGCTCCCATCATCAAGTCCCGGGGAATGGCCGGGTGCTTGACCAGACACAATCCTACCGACAAAAGTCCTGGATGGGTGAAGAGCATCTGCATCCAGGAGGGCGTGCAGGAAGGTAACTGTCAAAGACAGCATCTGCTTCGCATCATGCTACGGCGAGACAGCACAGTTGCTAACTAAGAATTACAAAAGACGCTGCTGGCAACACCCTCCATGATCATTCGTCGACAAACACCAGTGAGAATGGCAATGAAACTCTGAGATATGTTCATCCTGAACACTCTGATCTATGAAGTAAGAGGAAGCTCGATTTCCATGGCTGTCTGGTAAGCACAAAAAGCAATAGCGGAAAGGGAGCTGATGTAAGAGACCGAGATATATGCTTTCTGTAAATCGTGTAGACTCAAATGTCAAGGTACTAGAACGATGCACAAAGTGAGATGCAAATTCTTCTGCTTATGTGTGAATTAAATTAAGATCATGAATTCATTCATCAAAGTTCCCAGGAAATCTTAGAACTCGGTTTTCTGCAACAGATCTGTGCTGCACGTCCAGACGCGATGCTGTTGTTCGTCAGCCTGACGGCCTGAACCACCGTACATCGACAATGCGTTCTTGGCCTGTTAGCTCCAGAAGTGGCCTAGGAAGAGGGTTCCTTGGCGGCACCAGCCTCACGAACCGCGTTGGCAACACGGGTGGCGAGATCATCGGCCTCGGAACGGCTCGCCGCTTCGGCGTAAACACGCACAGCATCCTCCGTACCACTGGCGCGAGCGAAACTCCTTCCCTTGTTGTATCGGGATTGTAGAGACTCAATCTCAGCCTGTAGGCCGGGTGGGGACTCGAGCTTACGCTCAGCGTCATAAGCCTTGAAGATCGAACGGTCCGCAACCTCGACACGGACAAGACGCGACGGCAGATCGGTGTAAGTCGCAAGCCACTCCTTGGGGCTCCAGCCCTTGTGAGAAAGAATGGCCTCCACGAGGAGCATGTCGGAGATGGCGTCTCCAACAGCCTGGTTAATCAGGTCCGTCAAGCCCTGGAGGCACTCGAGCGAGCGCTGCTGAGCAGGAGACTGAGGCTCCGTGTTCTTGATCGTCTTCAAGGCATTCTCGGAGAAGGTGATCGTGCCGTGTCCGTTGGCCTCGAAATAGACGCCGACATCGAACCGCAAAGCGGCGTGGTGAAGGTGCTTAACACCAGTGTTCGTGCAAACGGAGGGGAGTTTCAGCACCTTCTCAATGTAGTCAGTGCTAGATCCGTTGGCATAAGCAGTCTGCACGACTCCGATCTTGAGTTTCTGTGCGATGCCAGCACTACGAGCAAGGTCGCCAATGAATGATGCAGCAAGAGTGGCGATGCGATCGCCATCTAGCAACCTGAAAACGTTGCTCTCATCGACGAAGTAGTAAACGATACGGTCAGCATCGCCGTCCAATGAGGCACAGCGCT